ATCCAACAGGACACCCTCTAGGCATCTTAAAGGATATTATTCAGCTATTACTTTCTCTTCTTCGGGACATTCAAAGTATGCCTCGAGATAAAATTTGGATATCCACAATGGATATCTTCAACGTCCGCCCTTAGGATTTCCGGAGGGTGTCATTGTGCTATCTGGGGTCTGTTACTTCTACTTACGGATCTAAAACGACATATTAGGAGGTTGAATTAGTTCTAGTCTTTAATAATAGATGGCTTTAATAACAAGTTAATAATTAGTACGAATGTTGAAATCTGGCAGCACTGAAAGATTTGACTATTCCCTATAACACCCTATGACAGTTTGCGCGCTACTGTTACTGATGGATTTTCATTGTTTATGTGCTTCTAAAATAGATCGTACAAAATTGCATCTTCGACATTCATTATTTTTTTGTTTGATTTGAAAAAATCGGCAACTAAAGTTCATGAAATGCTTGTTACAACTTATAACGATCAAGCTTCATCGTATTTCAACCGTAAATGTTGGTTTCAACGATTCAAAAGTAGTGATTTCAATTTGAGTGACAAAGAACGTACTGATCAGCCGAGAAAATTCGGAAATTCTGAGTTGCAAGCATTATATGAGTGAAAACACCGCTTAAACGGGAAAACAATTGGCTAAACAACTCAACGTCGATAAATCAACAATTTTTAAACGCCTACACGTCATGGGAAAAATTCAAAAGGAAGGTAAATGGGTTCCACATGAATTAAGTGAAAATACCATTGCAAATCGCTTGAATATCGCCATGTCTGCTCGCCGGACGGGAAAAAAAGATTTTTTTGGTGGCGAATTGTAACTGGAGATGAAAAGTGGATTTATTTTGATAATCCAAAGCGAAAAGAATCATGGGTTGTTCCAGGGCAACCATCAACATCGACATCAAAACGGAACATTCACGGTCACGAAGCAAAGTTCTTATTCGTATTTGATGGGATGTGGAAGGTGTGATGTACTATGAGCTTCTAAAACCGAATGAAACAGTTACGGGGGAGCGATACCAGCAACAATCGAACAAACTAAATGATGAATTGATGCAAAGAAAAAAAAGGCCAGCGATAACTAACAATAGGCGCAAGGTGATTCTTTTGCACGATAATGTTCGTCCATATGTTGCTTCGATAGTTAAGCAAACATTGTTAGAGCCCGAACGGGAAATCCTTCCGCGCCTAGCGTACTCTCCAGACCTAGCACCATCTGATTACCATCTATTCCGATCGATGCAACGCGCTTTAGCAGATACACACTTCAATGATGACGAGGATGTGCAAAAATGAGTGTCTGATTGGATTGCTTCGAAGAACAGATCGTTCTGTCGTCGTGGAATTGCTATATTGCCAGGAGGATGGGGAAAAAGTCGCAGCTAACGACGGAAGATATGGTTAAATTTAGCCATTTCTTTAAAACAAAGATAAAAAAAGATGGACAAAATAAGACCAGAATTAATTCAACCTCCTAATACAATAAACATCCATTCCACGGAGCGTTCTGCACACATCTGGCGGCCGACATTCCACATCGCCTTGGCTAACCCGATCACTCGACGCACGCACGAAAGCACTTGGTGAGCGAGCCGTCGCGGATAAACACGGAGGAGGACGAGCCTCGGGGCGCGAATTCGTCGGTGATCTCGCGCGATTCGCGATCAGCGAGGCGTCATCGGCTGATTTACCTTTCATCGATGTCACCTGCTGCGAGCCATGCTCCCTCGCGCACGGGGAACGGGAACGGGAACGGGAACAACGACCTCGACCTTCGCCGGCGTTCGCCGGGAGCGACGGCCGGGATTTCTGTCGACGCGTCCCAACGTTCTCGACGACGAGCGACGGGGCGGCGGCGATCGCGTTGACGCGCGATCGGGACGACGATGATCGCCTTCACGCGACACTGCGAGAACGTACCGTCGCGGGCGCACGTGCTTTCGCCGGAGCAAATTTCGGGGTCATAACAAAACGACGACCTCGCCGGCCGGCCGCACGGCCATCTTGCTACTCCTATCAGTCTTTCGCCCTCTCGCTCGTTCCCTCTCTTGCTCTTTCTCTCGCGCTTTCTCCCTTTCTCTTGCACTCTCTGTTAAAATACCGACGGATACCGACGGGCACCGACACACATCGCTGCGATGAATCGATACCTCGCGGCGGCAACGATAACGGAGTTTCAACCCCCCTTCCCCCTCACGCCAGAGACTACCCGCTTTTTTACGTGAAACTTTAATTAACGCAGAGGGTGGCGATCGATTTCAGGCAAGAGGGTGGTTGCATTCATCGAGTGAGGCTGATAGCGGACGTGGTACAGCCTCGAGATAGCTTTCATCAATCGCAACTGGCAGCGAGCATTCGGCTTCGCTTGGGAAAGCCCGCTCTCCGTAATCAGTCGAGTCTGAAAAAGAGCTGCCGACAGTTTCGAGAGTGTTGCTACGTTTTGCGATTATTTACGTGATGTTTTACGACGTGATTTTTCTGGCGCGCGAGGCGAGCTTGCTTCTCGTCTCTCTTCGCGTTTCCGTTTGCGTTGTAACGGAAGTATCATCGGCGGGCTTGCCGAAAGTGAGCACCTGGCTTGCCTCCGGCTGGTAAATTCGAGGTCTCCACAGTGCACCATATAGGGAAGGAGATTTCGAGAGTAACCGTCGGTAAAGCTAGATTTAAGAGGGTAAGAAACGCTCGCGGGGGCGTGGAAACGGGTCGGCTCGTCGTCGTCGCCGTCGTCGTCGGTAAAGGAACATGGCGAGTGTACTATGCCAGTGTACGGTATAGAACGGGGGTAAATAATCTTGAAGAGGATGAATCCTGCTTGATAAGACAGGAGGCTCCATCCAGGGTCTACCGTGAGGTCCGATCACCTCAACTAGAAGTTTGTTCTTCTTCGAGGCAAAAACTGCACAAATATTGAACCGAATTGAACTGAACTGAACTGGGACAGGTGAAAACACTGGGTTTGTCCTTTTTCGAAGCACGTAAACTGTACTAACACTGAAATAAATTGAACTGCATTGCACTAGAGTCCTGAATAATCAGAGAAGCGCAATCGGAGGCTCGCTTGCTGATCGGCTGACCGCGACTTCAATCAGAACCAGGAATGTTAGACCTATAGCTGATATTTCCGAGCGGAAAAGATTAATATTTGTAATGTTATTAACAAAATGAGCTCCGAGTTCCGAGACAACAACGAACAAAACAAATGTCATATAATATTACTTTATCGTTTTAACAAGATATCGTTGTCATGTATCGACATTTCTTGTTCGATATTCCGAAACTTCAAAAATCTCTTTTTTCACGTTGATTACAATGTTGCAATCAAAGTAAAAACATTTCTGAATGACCAAATTGTGTCAGAGATTACTTTAAAAGCGATCAGCTGTTTGTTGCGGGGCCAATATGTTGACTATGGGAAATGGAGAGGGTAACGTGTATGTGCACCTCTGATTATTGGTCTGATGATTTAGGGCTTTACACTGAACTATGACAAGTGAGTACAATAGAGTTCTTTTTCGAAGCACGAAAACAGCACTAGTGCTGAGATGAATTGAACTGAACTGAACTAGGACAGATAAGTACAGTGTGGTTCACATCGGTGCAAAAGTGCAAGAAAGAACGCCACACAATGCAGCAGCCAGCCTGGCTCATTAAGTAAGATTACGTGTGTTGTATATTTACTTTTAAAATTAAACCAGGTTTCACTACAAACCTGCACTGAACCGGCTGCACTAGCTCAAGACTTAGGCAGCTAGTATACTAAGTTGTTGCACTGACCACTGTTAAGGCCCATCTACAATGGCTGCAAGAATAAGGTTCTAAGCGTAAGAAGTAAGAAATAGACCAACCACAATCGATTATTATAAGAATAATCGATTATGGTTGGTCCATTTCTTACTGCTTACGCTTACAACCTTATTCTTGCAGCCATTGTAGATGGGCCTTTACACTTCGAAGAAGAACAACGATGTTAACAATTCCGTTTACGTTCCGAAATCGGTTTTAGAAACTTTGGTTTTAGTTACAAGGTTGGTAGGCCTTAAACTAACTTAGAGACGTTCTGTAATTGATCAGTTGATACACACAATCAACCTTACGATCGGGAGATTCGCTAATCAAAATAGTAAACAATAAAAAATTTACCCATTTCTCTATCTGATATCACAAAATTGATAATTAAACCAAGTTTGTAAACAGAAATAGTACACGACTGAAAAAGTACGCTGGAAAGCAAAACAGTTTCGACAGTGTTTTTGTTTTTTACAAACATTAGTAATTAGTCTAGTTGTAAAATTTAGGAGCCACTGCTCAAGAATTTGCGCAAAAGATCGCAAGTCTCTCTAACCCCAATGGTGTATGTCTCTCTAATCCCAACGATCTTGAGACTGCTCTATGTATTCTATACGAGCAGTGATTCTCAAATTCACAACTACATGGATTATCAATGTCACTAGAAAAAAAAGGCTGTCGAAACTGTTTTGCTTTCCAGTACATGACTGTGAACACCTAAGCATGATCAATTCTGGAACGTATCAAAGTTAGTTTAAGGCCTCTACCAACCTTATAACTAAAACCAAAGTTTCCGAAACTGTTTTCAGAATGCAAAGGATGTCATTTCCGAACGCTTTAATATACACTCGATGCATTAATGCATAATCAGTGTGAAAAGTTCCTCGAAAAAGGGTAAACCTTACGTGGGATGAGCAATGGTCGGGTGAGGAATCGATAGGTTGTCGAAATGCGAAATATGTGGACGATGTGCTGTCCCTCGGCAACATGTTTTCTCTTTTGGCAATTCCCCATCGAGTGAAAATCCTTGTAATCATAATTCCAGGCGTGTAATGTAGGATTCTGGATTTTCCCACGGTTCTCGCATTCTCCCTAGCCCAGCTCTACCAGCGTCTACTCAAGGCTACCCCCTCCCTCTGCCTTGGACACTCGCGTGCTTTTGCATTTCCAATTTGGCAGAATATTGATACAGCGTCTGCTTACCTTGTCCTCTGCTTCATCGGCCCTGCCCTCCGCTTCTAATACTCGCTGCTCGAGTTCGGAGAGCTGAAACAAAAAGCAGGATCGTTTGAGCGATACGTCAGCTTGCGCGAGATTAATGGCGTTTCATGAGATAAACGATCGCCTCGGCTTTTAGCCGTGATATTACCAGCCTCCGTCGCTAAAATGCAAAATAACGCCTCGCGAAATCAGGAGGCGTGTAATTTTTCTCTCTTACGATCCCGTTTGACGAGCGTTAACGAAATATCGATTCCGTTCGCGAGTCGGACGCCAACGATAAAGCCACTAGCAACGATAAATCTTCTTAAACGCGATCAAATTGAATGCACGGATCGCGATCATTTGACGCAGGCGTAAGTTTGGAACACCTCGGTCAGTCGTCGCGAACGATGTCGTTTAAGGAGCCAGTAAATTGCGAGATCCGTACTGCTTCTCGCGACTTACGTAACGCCGTTTCGATCGCGAGCAGGCTCGTAAAGTGTGTTGGAAACTATGTCGCCAATCTGATCGCACAGAAAAAACTGAACGATTTCTGCGTGTTGGACGAGGTCATGGCCGATTTCTTATTAAAACTCCAGCAGTAATCTGGCTTGTAAGATTCTTTTTATTAATCAAGGATGTAATCGCCGTTGTTTTCTACAATCCTTTCCCAACGTTCTGTTGGCTCACGGACGCCTCGATTATAAAAGGACCTCAATTTTGGGTTGAAAAAGAAAAATGATGCTTTTGACGGCTTCCAAAGAATTTTTTTTTCACTTAAATTATTTAGCAATGGTCGAAACAAGTGATAGTCTGATGGTGCGATCTGGCATTCCATTTCGGTTTCTTTAGTTTACACAGAGTCTGTTTCGCAATGTGTGCTTTTGCACTGTGTGTTGTGGTGAAAGACGACTCCCTCACGATTGATTGGAATTGGAAACTTCTCCTGAATTGCTTCAAATTGCCTAATTGTTGACAATGCCTGTTAGAGTTAATCGTCTGATCAACTCGGTAATCGTCTGACGAGGGGCAACTCAAAATAAATTATTCCTTTACAATCCCACCAAACAGAGAACCTCATCTTCTCGGGATACAAATTGGTTTTTGACATGGATTCTACATGCTCATTTGGTCATTATTGAGAAGGTGCACCCCTCCTCACGTGACGAGAGGGCGTCGATTGCTGTCCTTAAGTTGACTACAAAATTGAATAGTATGGAAAACATTAGGCAGCTTCTTAACAGAACTTTTGATTTTAGGAAGTCTGGTACTAATAGATTTACTGTTAATTTCTCCTCGTCATCTGAGGCTGATTCTTTCGTCAACCTAGTTTGGGAGAACAATGCTGGTTCCCAAGTACGTTCGCGTTGAACATTGTCGTATAGAATCCATTTTTTCACCGCCAGTCAATCCAAAACCGGATCTTTATTTAGTCGACCAAGTAAGGAAACTGCTGAAACTCGAATCAATTTGCTCGCTTCAGTTAGCAAATGTAGCATCTACATATCGAGTTTCAAAGCGTACTCGATCTTTTCTAAATGCCAAAATGCAGCCGATTTATCAGTGTCCAATCTCTCATCAAGTTTTTTTGTAATTCGTGAGTTATTTTGCGCTAAATTGCGCACGATGTAATCATCTATATCAGAAGGTCGGTCAGAGCGTGGCTAGTCGTCAAGATGGAAATCACCGCGTCTAAATTTCGCAAACTATTTCTTAGCAGTTCGAGCTGCTGGCGTACGGTCCTGATGCACATCTTGAATGTTTCTTACGGCGGTCCCAACTGTTGCACCGTTCCAAGACTCATAAAGCGTAATATGCCATAAATGCACCCTTTTTTCGTTCATTTTCAAAATTCTCTTTTTCACAACGTAAATTCAATCAAAACGCATGAATCATTCGTTCAAATGACAACTGAATATGTCATTTTCCCAACGATGTACAATACGCAGACATATTAGGAGGTTGAATTCATTCTGGTCTTATTTTGTTAACTTTTTTATCTTTATTTTAAAGAAATGGTTAAATTTACAGCAATCAAAATATCTTCCGTCGTCAGCTGTCAACTCTTTCCCATCTTTCCGGCAACATAGCAATCTCGCGACGATAGAACGATCTGCCTTTCGAACTAATCCAATCAGACATTCCTTTTTGCACATCCTCGTAATTATTGATGTGTGTATCTGCCAAAGCGTAGTGCATCAATCGGAATAGATAATAATCAGGTGATGGTAGGTTTGGAGAATACGCTGATTGCGGAAGGATTTCCCATTCGAGCTCTAACAATGTTTATTTTACTATTGAAGCAACATGTGGACGAGCATTATCATGCAAAAGAATCACCTTGTGTCTATTGCTGATTATTGCTGGCTTTTTCTTTTACATCAATTCATCATTTAGTTTGTTTAATTGTTGCTGGTATCGCTCCCTCGTAACTGTTCCATTCGGTTTTAGAAACTCATAGTATATCACACCTTCTATATCCCACCAAATACAGAACTTTACTTTGTGATCGTGAGTGTTCCGATCTGGTGTCGATGTTGATGGTTGTCCTGGAACAACCCATGATTCTTTTCGCTCTGGATTATCAAAATAAATCCACTTTTCATTTCCAGTTATAATTCACCACAAAAAACTCTTTTTTCCTATCTGGCAAGCAGACATAGCGACATTCAAACGATTTTGCACTTTTGATCATCATAAGTTGTAACAAGCATTTCATGAGGTTCAGTTGGCGATTTCTTCAAATCAAACAAAAAAGTAACGTATATCGAAAATACAATTTTTTAATTACGATCCATTTTGGACGCGTATAAACAATGAAACTATCAATAACAATAGCGTGCAAACTGTTACGTTACGTAACTGTTACGTAAAGCAGAGGTTCCCAACTGGGGGTGCAAAAAACATTCTTAGGAGTGCGAGGGAAAGTAATTAGTAATGATTAAGATGAATTCTGGAATAATCCGGTAAAACAATGGTAAAAATAATTTTTACCATCAAATTAAAAAAAAATGTTATTATATATTTTTTATGTATCTGTACGTATATATTCATTACGTATCGCTTGATATTGTTGCTTAATACAGTGGGTAATAATTTTATAATATTAAAATGATAGTTAATTTCTATAAAACAATACTATATAATAATAAATTATTATAAATTAACTTCTTAGCTTAAAACCCTAACAACTAATTTTTATCATAAAACATACGAATAATTATTTTGTAGAGAGTGCGAAATACAAAAAAGTTTGGGAAACCCTGGTACATACTGAAATGTCAAATTTTTCAGTGTTGTCAGATTTCAACATTCGTAGTATCCATTAATTTGTCACTAAAGCCATCTATTGCTAGGGACCAGAATTAATCCAATCTCCTAATAGCAATCAATGATGCTATCATATACCTCTTCTAATGACGGAATCGGAATCGGGCATAGACTTTTGCATTCAAATATTCCAGTATTTGAAACAAATAACCGGCTCTTTCCGAGGCTCTTGATCACGCTCGTCCGACTTCAATTTATCAGACTGACAACAGGGTTCTCACGACGTTTCGTGATGGTCTGCTCCGACGAGTTGATGCGATGTCAGTCGGAGAAGCGCAAGAATCGCTCGTATTTCTCCCACTTCTGACGTCGTTGCCAAGGACGGCTGATAAAGACCTTTAATATCCCAGTAACGTGTAGCAAATTCATAGTGTTCTCGAGAGGTAAGACGCTTCCGTCCAAGAAAGTTTGACGTGCGAGCATGTTCGATGTCGTCTAATTTCGCGAGGGAAAGTTTCATCAAACTTGGTTAAGTCCATGGACGAGGCGCACTTGGTTAGGCGTACTCGATGACAGTTTAATGATTACGATGGAGCTAAACTGGACTCTAACACCGGCTCGATCCAACGGAGATTGATACGCGTGTGCGCGTTAGCGCGAATATCCTTTGCGGAAATCTCGTTTAAAGAGAGAGAGAGTGTGTGTGTGTGTGTGTGTGAATGTCTCACGACTTTCTGACTTGAACGACCGCGATTCCTCGATCGATCTCCGGAGTCAACTTTTCCGTCCCTTCATAATCGCATCCTTCGCCGCTGCGAGTCAGACTCGCTCCACTTTGCAACCTTGCCGGGCTACTGCTCATTGCGACAACTTGTTAATTACGACGATTAGTTCTGATTAGTGATCCGAGCCAATGCTGATATGAAGTCGACGAGAGCGATGATTTGGCGCTCATTCTTCCTTACTTCACTTTTACGTCTTTCCGGTGCTTCGCCCGGCGCGATATCAGCGGTCGTGAAGTAATCATCAGGCACAGCGCGATAATAAAAGGAGCTGGCGAACAGAAAGAATTTGTACTTCCTTGCGTTTCGCTCCCCCCTTCCGCCCACTGTCCTGCTATCTATCTATCTCTCGCTCCGGCAAATAAAGCGACCGCGTAGCGCGATCTCGTCTCTTTCGAGGAAGATGGATCGGCAGAGGGAGGCATGTCGGAGCACACAGCGAAGCGGAGGAGGAGTAGGAGGAGGGAGCAGGATCTCATCAAGGAGGGCGCAGTTAGCAGCATCTGGCGTCGCGGCGGCAGAAAAAAGCAAAGGGCGCGCGAGAGACGAAAGGGAGAAGAGCGCGAGGCCGAGGAGAAACGCAGAAATATTCCTCTTAATGCCGAGAGGGAAACTCGCCGCGCGCGCGCCAGCGCGAGCGGCTTGCCAGAAAGGGAAATCCGCCCGCGTGGGGCGCGCGGGAAGGTGGGAGGTGGAGGGGGAGGAGAGAGAGAGAGAGAGAGAGAGAGAGAGAGAGAGAGAGAGAGAGAGAGAGAGAGAGAGAGAGAGAGAGAGAGAGGACTGGTACATTAGCCGCAAAGGGGATGCGCCGTCGCGGGATCTCTCAAACTGTCGTCAGCGCCGCGAAATCCGCCTTCTTTCCTCGCGATGATCAAATGATATCGGTGAGCTGATGCGCGTCGCCGAGCGTAATCCGCAAGATAATATTCAAGACAACGCGAGTATCTCGTCATAAGCGCACAGCACAGCTCATCTTGGCTGGCCCTTTGACTGGTTCATCTGTGCTGCTTTAAT